AGGGATTTGGAAGCTTTGAAAGTGGAGCAGAGGCCAATTTTTCTTTCTGAATGCTGGCAAGAAACTGTCCATTCAAACTTTTGGCCTTTTTTTTAGTCAAATCATGTAGTGGAGCAGCCATAGTTGCAAAGTCATTCACAAACTTCCGGTAATAGGTACAGAGTTCCAAGAAACTTCTTAACTCTCCCACATTGTCAGTCATGCACTGCTTTCACCTTGTCAGAATCAGTTTGTGCACCATACTCACTTACAATGTGACCTAAGTAAAGCACCTCTTTCTGGAACAAGTGGCATTTCTTGGGATGGAGTTTGAGGTTTGTTGCTTTTAAAAGCTTGAATACTTCCTCCAGCCGGAACATTTCCTCGTGAAAAGTTGTTGCAAATTCAGTGACATCGTCCAGATACACTAGGGCTATCCTCCATTGTAGGCCTTCCAATACTCGTTCCATCAGCCTCTCAAATGTTACTGGAGCATTACTGAGCCCGAATAGCATCACTCGGTATTGCCAGAGACCTTGGCCATAACTAAATGCTGTCTTGGGTTTATCTGCTTCAGCCATTTTTACTTGATGGAAACCTGACTTCAAGTCCACAGTTGAAAACCACCTGGCTCCACTTAGGGTATCAAGAGTATCATCGATTCTTGGCAGTGGGTATGAGTCTTTTTCGGTTATACTGTTAAAAACCCTGATGTCCACACAGCAACGTTGGGTCCCATTCTTCTTCTGGACTAATACGATAGGAGCTGACCAGGGACTATCTGATTTCTCGACTATCCCTTCCTTAATTAGACCATCCATGACCTTGAACCAGGAGACAAGGTGTGGTTGTATAATCCCAGGGAGACCATATGACATAGTGGATCGTCTCTCAGACGTGACTTTCCGGATAAAACGTGGTCGGCTGGGTAAGCCAAATGTGGTGCATGCCAACAGGCTTTGGTGTTATCATGGTCCAGGACATTTCAATTGGTACGAAGTAAACAACAGAACAAATGACGCTGCTGAAGACGTGTCACCTGAAAAAGCCACTGTTGAAGAAGAAACTCTACTCACTTTTGAGAAGGGAAACGGTGAAGCTCTTGATGAAGGTACTACCACTGATGTGACTGTTACTGACGAAAGGACATTTCCTGATGAAGCAGATAAACCCCACGTAAAGCAGAAGCCAACGAGACAGAGACCAGTACGGAAGAAGATACGTCCCATAAAATTAAGAGACTTTGTTGAATTGTAATTTTCTGTTTGTAATTCTGTACATTTAATTAAGTTATTGTTAATTGATATTGGTTTAATGTAAGTGGCTATTGTTCGTCCCGAACAATACTAAGGAAGGGCAGTGTTGCGACATCGAGGACACGTGACTAATATCGCGCCACACCATTCTCGAAAATTCACGTCTTTTCCTTAAATCTCGTGATCCTTCTAGATATAGTGTAGTCTTGTATATTGTTGCGTCAGCGAGATCACGTGACTAGTGTCGCGCCACGTTTTCTAGAAATATCCTGATCCTTCGTGAATGCCCTAGCATTTACTAGATTGGGGATAGACTGGTATATATAAGATGGTCACAACGTGACGGGACAACAGTGTAATGAGTAATTGAATGTATACGGACAAAATATTGTTGGCCACGTGAGATATAGCGTTTTTTATAGCCGACTGTTGAAATTAAGTGTATCGTAAAGTTGTATTCGGAAAGAATAAGCCAGTTTTATTAAGTAAGGACTTGTGTCGCTAAATTTCGTCGGAACGAAGTTACGGAAAATCAACTAACGAACGGAGACGTAACAATATGTATCAGACATAAGGTGTCAGAGAGTGGGATAAAAAAAATGGAAACGAGAAGCAGCAAATCAAACTACAACCTAGCAGACTTAATGGCAGCAATAAAATAACAGCAGAAGAAACAAGAAAAACGAGAAAAGAAACAAGAAGAACGAGAAAAGAAACAAGAAGAGAGATTACAGCAGTTGCAAGAAAACCTGCAACAGTGGCAGCTCGAACAGCAAAATAAACAAGAAGAGAGATTACAACAGCTATTGGAGGAGAAAGAAATTAAACAAGAAGAGAAATTACAACAGTTGTTGGAGGAAAAGAAAAGAAACAAGAAGAGAGACAACAACAACAGTGGCAAGAAAACCTGCAACAGTGGCAGCTCGAACAAGAAAATAAACAAGAGAGATACAGCAGTTGTTGGAGGAAAAAGAAATAAAACAAAAAGAGAGATTACAACAGCTATTGGAGGAGAAAGAAAATAAACAAGAAGAGAGACTACAACAGTGGCAAGAAGAACAAATGGAAAATATTAGTAAATTTAAAATTAGATACGTTAAAGGACGATTTATTGTCTTTTACACAAGGAGTATACATTAACCATCGACTTAACCAGCCCCAGACAATGACAAGCCCCTTACAGA